GTGATCAAGGCCACTGCTGGCTCTTGTGTGCCACGCTGGGGGTGCCGGGTAGTAAAGGGGGTCACAAGGAAGTAAAAGATTGCACCTCCAGGGGGTAACAGACAGGACAGGTGACGAACAAGAGTATTCCATCCCATATACGTCCTATTTAGTATAAATTGAGTGATCACGAGAGTTTCGGCCCTTTTCCCTTTTCGCCCTTTTCTTCTTTGCCCTTCTCTGCAATGGCCAGTGTTCCAAGAGGACTCCATCTGACCTCCTGCCTTTGATCCGGATCCCTTTTCCTTCCCATTTGGGGGGGCGGGGGGAAGAGGAGGTTAGAGAGCATCTGTCCGTGTTAGAGGCCAGCCCAGCCCTAACCCACGACAACATTAAACTGCCTTTACTATTAAATTGTGTTGTCAGCAATTCAAACTACAAGTTAAAAACTCTTTTAGAACCTCTGCACCAGCTAACAGTAACCCTCAAGATCAAGTACTCCCAATGTACAATGTAAGAATTGACAATGACAGTGTAAGTGACAGGGCCACAATGATGATCCAGAGGCTGGAGCACCACTGCTATGAGGACAGGCTGAGGGAGCTGGGATTTTTCCACCTGCAGAAGAGGGGACTCTGGGGGGACCTTATAACTGCCCTCCAATACCTGAAGGGAACCTACAGGAAGGCTGGAGAGGGACTTTTTACAAGAGTGTCCAGCGATAGGACAAGGGGAAATGGATTTAAATTGAAGAATAGGTTTAGATTGGATTTTAGGAAGAAATTCTGCAATACAAGGGTTGCAAGACTCTGGAATAAATTGCCCAGAGAAGTTGTGGATGCCCCCTTCTTGGAGATGTTCAAGGCCACGTTGGATGAGGCCTTGACCAACCTAGTCTAGCTGAGAGACATCCCATGGCAGGGAAGTTGGATTAGATGATTGCTAAGGTGCCTTCCAACCTAAGCCATTCTATGAATTGACAGCTCCATGGCACCTGATAAAACCAAGATACAATAACAGAGAGCCTGCTGCTCATACTTTAAGAAGTGTGGTGCAGCTCCTGAACTGCTCTGAAAGGAGGCGTGGAGTACACTTGTATTTCACCATTGCTTAGGAGCACAAAACCTTTTATCTTCTCCAACTCCTGAACGTGCACAACAGAGAGTTTACGACCTATTAGGTTTCATACCTGACTTCAGCAACTGTAGTTACTGTGTGTTTCAAGACTGTGTGTAGCACCGACTGGCCGATGTATTCTGATGTGTGCTGTCTGACTGTTTTTCAGAAGTCTTTACCATACAAGAGAAAATAAGACACTGCAAGATAAGCATGCTGATTACCAGACAAATGGGGAAATTATATGTAAAGACTGTGGACAAGTGAGGAACAACTTATTTTCATACTTTTATGTTGTTGTCTGTATTTACTTCTGCCTAATGATCCTGTATATTTTACGTGAAACATAATTTTCTTGTACTTGCAGGCTTGGGGAAATATGATGGTTCACCGAGGTCTTGACTTGCCTTGTCTGAAGATTAGAAATTTTGTGGTTGTGTTTGAAGACAAGAAAACAAAGCATATTTTTAAGAAATGGGGAGAACTGCCTGTCAGGTTCCCTAGTTTTGATTATGCAGCTCATTGTCCTTCAAGTGATGAAGATTAAGGCCCTAGAATGAAAATAAAAGCCCTTTTCAACTTTTCTGGCTGCTGATTAGAAGCTCCATCGAGAGTGCTGCATCATAAACGCCGTAAGAGCTCCTGAGAATGAGGAAACTGTCTTGAGGGAACAAACCGAAAGAAGAAGGACAAAGTCACAGGGCTGCTGTCTGCACTCTGATTTGCATCGGTCCTCGGGCACGAAGAAGATGACCAAACGCGCTGCAGCCGTGTGTATCCATGGAACAAATTGCCATCGCTACTCACTACAGTCAGAAGTGTGTTAGGTGACCTGTCATCAAGGACAGAACAGAGGGCAGACATCTTGAGACGTGCCATCGTGATTATTTTCTGGTTTTCTTCCTGCTATAACCCTTTTGAAGATAAAGTGTCTCGAAAGAGGAGCCATGTAAACAGAACTGATTAGCTGAGTGTTATTTCTGAGTCGTTGTAGCTTCACCATTTTTTTCACGACTGAGTTCTTCCTCTCTTCAGCTAACCTCACACTTTTTGACAGACTAAAATTAAATTTCCATTAAAAGACATTTCCAAAAATCAGGCCCTTACCCTGACTTAAAATTGATTATTTTAATGTCCAAGAAGCACAATGCCAAGTGACTTTCTGTGTTGTTAATTTTGCAGGATAAACTGGCTATGTAATGAGGTATGTATTTTTTCAGTAAATTACTGTAATGATTAACCTTTGCCAACTGTGATACTGTTTATTCTCTTTCACTGTAAGTATTTTGACAATAATAATAACATGGTTTCACCCTAGAAATTTAAAGGATAGTGGTATTCTGACTGTAAAAATAGCATAATGTGTCTCCATATTTATCTTGACAGATTTTTTTTTCCCCCATTTGCAAGTAAGATATCGGAGAGTGGAAAGAAGGTCTGTTTGTTGTTATAACAGTCAGCTTTGCAAATTCAGGATAAAGTGGTATGTTTACTGGCATGGACATGCAAAGGCTACAGTAGCCTCAGGTAAAATTTCTGAATTATAATCTAGTTGAAAGGTACATCCCAGCAAAAAAGAATCATATTATGGCTAGATCTGTAATTACATTTTTAAAAGGAATATAAATACTGTGCACATTTTTTTAAATCGGATTTGATTCAGGTTTGCATCCGGATGAGAGTTGGGTTTGTGTGGTTTTTCTTACTTCTGGCCTTGCCTCAGGGGGATGGGAAAAAAAATCTTATTTCTGACTGAGATGAGCAGCACATTTCAGATCTCACCACACTGATACAGACCATTTTGGGATTAACTACTTACTTATAAACAAATTATAGCATTCTGAAATAAATATGCACACTGATGAGTTCTCACTATTGCAGTTTTTTAGATTAGAATGTACTTAAACTACAGAAATTGTGGTTTATTTATAGGTTGAAATTATTCCACAGCAGTGATTTATACCCATAAAATACCACCCTAGGGCTGTAAAAAACAGGCATATTGAGAGTTGAGACATTATAAATGCAAAGGACACAGCAATTCCACAGGTATTTTTGAATGATAGAGCTAAAACAGGACTAGGAGTGCAAACAATTTGTAGCACATGTGTTTTACATTTGTGTATATCTTTACATAATGCATATCTTTACATACCTTTATGCATTGTGCAGCGCAGAACAAACGTGAAATCTTCACCAATTTCTTTATTCAGCATTAGTTAAAAAAACTAAACCATTCTTCTCATCTATTGTTCTTAGAAATTCTTGTTATTCTCGTTCTTGTATTGTAGTATTTTGCTTAATACTGAAGCTTTCAGCTACTTCTGGTGATTTAGCAGTTTCTAAGTGCAGGACAAATTTTACACTTTATATACATTGATCTGAATATCTCACTATTTAAAAATGTTGGGAATTGATAGATCACACATGATTGTAATTTAAGGTGTATTTTTTCACGTGCTCAGTATCTGATGAGATATTATGAAATGTGCTAAAAATTATTAGAATAGTCTCTCTTGGAAAATAATCATCACTCAGATCACCTGTAGATTTCTGCATTAAACTTATGCAAATGTAACATAATTATAGAATCATAAAGTGGTTTGGGTTGGAAGGAACCGTAAAGATCCTCTAGTCCCAAACCCCTGCCATGGGCAGGGACACCTCCCACTAGACCGGGTTGCTCCAAGCCCCACCCAGCCTGGCCTTGAACACCTCCAGGGAGGGGACATCCACAACTTCTCTGGGCCACCCATTCCAGCGCCTCAGCACCCGCACAGTAAAGAACTTCTTCCTTACATCTCATCTAAATCTACCCTCTTAGTTTGAAACTGTGACCCCTTGTTCTATCACTGAATGCCCTTGTAGACAGTCCCTCCTCTTCTTCCCTGTAGGCTCCCTGTAAGTACTGGAAGGCTGCTGTAAGGCCTCCCTGGAGCCTTCTCCAGGCTGAACAGCCCCAGCTCTGCCAGCCTGTCCTCACAGGGGAGCTGCTCCACGCCCCTGATCATCTTTGTGGCTCCATGTCCTTATGCTGGAGGCCCCAGATGTGAATGCAGGGCTGCTGGTGGGGTCTCACAGGAACAGAGCAGAAGGGCAGAATCACCTACTGGCCGCGCTACTATTTATGCAGCCCAGGATGCAATGGGCTTTCTGGGCTGTGGGCACATATTGCTGGCTCATACTCAGCTTTTCATCCGTGAACACTCCCAAATCCTTCTCCCTAGGACTGCTCTTGATCCACCCATTGCCTGTATTTGTGCTTGGGATTGCCCCGACGCAGGTGCAGGACCTGGCACTTGACCTTGCTGAACTTCATCAGGATTGCACAGGCCCACCTCTCAAGCCTGTACACAATGTGAATAGTGTACATAATATACTGTACATAGCATTTTCAGGTGTCCAAAGTCATTTATTCAGAAGTATAAAACCCTGGTAGAAGGATGATATCATCACATAGATTAATGCTGATCCTCAATCAAATAGCTTTCCATGCTGAGTAGATTTTCTGAAATCTGAGCTATTGATACTTCCCTTTGTTGCAGCAACAGGAGTATACGCAGCGGGATCGCTTTGTTCTTTCACAGTTGAGTTCAGCAGTGCTGTACCACAAACATGCCAGGGCTTCTTATATTTCACCTGTGTTCTGCTGCTACGCTCCCAGTTCCTAGTGTGACTCAGCCACGTTGTCACCAAAGTTTAAAGAGTGTTTGCACAATCTCACTTCAGCATCATGCGTAATGAACTTCAGATGAATCCTGCTGGCGTGTAGGATAAGGAATTTCCACTTCAAGTTACCATCTCTGAATGGGGTTGTAAAGCGTGCCTGTATTGTTCATCCAGGAAGTGTGAAGTTGTAAAAAACAAGCTAAATTGCCATATTTTATTTGCTGATTACTTCTGCATTTATTGACTTTATGGACCCAAAGTCCTCCAGGGAGTGTGACAAATCCTGATTGTATTTTCTACCTACAGCCTTCATTTGTTCACAAATGTGGAAAGAAGAAAAACTATTAGTCCCCACAGATTTGTCTCGCTAAGTGGCTACTTAAGAACTGGTTCGGTTCAAGTTGCATTTTCATTATTCTGCTTTTGGTCTGATGTCGTGTACAACCCACATCTGTAAATCCAAATTTCCCCATCTGGGATATGTAAATACTTTAGTAGCCTTAGAGTAGTTGCGTAACTGGTTAGATAATTGCTGCACAAAATAGGTATGTTTTCTGTTCCATCATTTATCCATTTGTCCAACTGATTCACCTTCTTTCTAGCTTCCTTACGCTTTTATTTCGATGTTACATTATAGGGTTCTGATGTTGCAGAAGTTAGGAAGAGCTTTGGGTGTTGAGAGCACTGATGTTTTGTTCTTCATTTGTACTACTATAAGCAGTCCAGAGAAGAGAGTTCACGTGTTAGGAGCAATAGATCTAAAAAGCTTGTAAAAGTAAATTTTGTTTTGCTTCTAATGCTGCAATCTTTGTCAATCTTACTAAAGCACATGCCTAAATAATTAGACTTTCAAATTCATAAAATACATAGTATGCAGCATATAGCCATTTTGCCAAATCCTTCAGATCATGTGAGTTTGAATCATTTCCTTTGAGGCATTCTATGCATTCATTAGAGGAAACTGCATATCTGGAAATGAAAACTAGCCTAATTAAAACCAGCATTTGCAATTTTGTGATGTTCTGCTTGTCAGAAATAACCAACGTTGGTAGGAAAAAAACGGCTTTCTCTGAATTATGTTATTGAAAATACATATGGCATTAAACACGGGATGCTAGGAAATAAGTAACAGTTTGGAAATATGAATAAGACACAAGCTACATGGGGAAAAAATCTTTTGTCACAATTCTTTTCTGTTTTGGAAATTCTGAGTAGCTGCGCTTTATCTTGTTAGGAAACACTATTGTTTTTGAGGTCAGTTCTGCCCTTCACATATAGTACATGAGGAACAATGTGTTTTAGCCTTCTCAGCCTTTTTCTCCTGCGTGGCTTATGTCAACACAATGGATCTTATTCAGAAACTTTGTGTTGTGTAACTTGTACTTTAATATGTCAAGAACTAGGGAGAGAGGGGAACTGGGTTTATGGGAAATAAGATATGTTTCAAATCACTATTTTTTCCAAACAATTAATTTGAAAGTCTTTTCAAAAATCCCCCCACAAAGACAAACGTAAGGAAAATTGGCAAAACACTGCCCAGATCAGCTGCTGCCTCAGCAAGGCTGGTGTAACGGTACGGGTTCAATACCCAGCCCATACTCTTAGGCTAAGGTGGTAAACAGACTGCCCTTGGTGGTAACAGGCTGATGGTTTCTCCTCTGTAAAACACTGACACAAGTTCTTGATGGTTTGGTGTGACAAGAAACCTTTATTATCTACTAGTTTTTAATATTTAAAGAAGCCATAAGGCGTGACGCATGCACCTACTACTGAATTTCAGTAAGACTTAGGTACTTGGTCCTTGTTAACCTCCTCTGAAAAATCATAGTCCCTGTGCCTGACTTCCACACAGAGGCACCACCATTCTGGACTCTTTTC